TCCACAAAAAAAAAAACGAAATGACTTTCCGAACAGCCCGATAGAAGGAAAGAAACGCAAAGTCAAAACTGCAATTATAACTGAAACCCTAGAAAAAGATAATTACTTTTACAAAATAAGATAGATATATTAAAGAAAGAAATACCTTGAGCCAATAAAGAAAGTTTAACGCAAGTAAGGCGAATTATCAAACACAATTTAGCAGTAAAGGAATCGAACAACATCAAAATTAACAATCAAGGTAATAAAACAAAAACAAAAGTAAAATGTCAAAGTCTCTCGAAAGAAGAAGGCTGCACAGAAACTGACTATTACTCCTGATTAGTAGCAGTAGCAGCAACGATTCCTGGTCAAATTCCGATTCTGGCACGACTGATGAAATTTCTGAGACCGATACTTTACTACAATACTAATGCACAATAGCCAGTCAAACGATAAAAGAGACGATAGATGCAACATTTGTAAAAGAAAATATTCAGAAAGCGTTGAGGATTGGTAGATACCACAGATGTGCAAAATTTATGAGAAATGGATCCATGAAACTTGTGGTGTTAGAGGTGTTCTTAATTTTTTTCTATTCCCTTTGTCACTAAAATTTGTAATATACAAGTGCCTTAGTTTTAAACAAATGTTCAGTTAGCTAAATTATAATAAAAAGTAAATTGTTAATTTCAATTTTTTTTAAAAATGTAGTTTCGCAGCATACGTACACGTACCTATTGATTAATAATCAGGACGTGTATCGCAAAGTAGAAGCTGATTTTCCTTATTATTATTGTATTGTCCTTTTCATAAACCAATCGTGTCCCTTTCAATACATTCTATCTATGAAACATTTTTTTTAAGTTGAAAAAATATACAACTAAGGATAAAAAATGGTTTGTTGTTGTGTCCTATTTCGATACTGACATAACTGAGCTACCTAATTTTCTTAGTAAATTTTTAATTTTTTATTTCATTTATTTACCAAAATCCTCAAAAAATGTCCCTTTCATGCCACCTCTATAAAATTTCATGATAACCCATTGAGTAATTAAGGCATGAAATCGACTACAGAAAACTAATTTTTGTATCCCTCGAGAACAGTATTTTTTTTTAGATAAAAGGTACCCTATGCCCCCTTCTGCACCCCTAACAATGTGTCAACAAAATTTCATGATGATCGATTGAGTAATTAAAGGGGAGATCGACCACATAAAACTAATTTTTGTATCCGTCGGGAAAAGTATTTTTTTCTGGATAAAAAGAACTCTATGCCGTTTTCTGCACCCCTAACAATGTGTTTACAAAATTTAGTAGATAAACCGTGAAAAGCCGACAACAAATTTCATCTTATCAAACATGTATGTAATCTAAAAATATTTTTACCAATTTCAGATCAAAGATTTTACCTACTTATATTCTTTTTCTGAACATGTAAAACTGTAAAAATCGTTTAATTGGTTTTTTAATGGATAATTAATGAGCCATTGAAATAGGCATTTAGCCAACTGGTTAATATTTTCTCGGTTCCACTATTTGTAAGTATGATTGATGTATATTTAGACCGTTCTAAATGCGATTAATTACAAATATGAAATATCAAATACGTTCTACATGTTTACAAAGATTTCGTTTCTTTCTGTAACTCTTATAAGTGGTTTACAAGCTAAAAGCACTTTGTAAATTACTTCTCTGAAATGTGTTCATTTTGCCGACGTTAACAAAATAATTGAAATGTGCTAATTACATTAACACAATCGAAAATTTTCACACTTTCATAACTTGTATCATTTCAGTGATTAAAGCAAACATATNTAAATATTATTTTGTTTGTATAAAGTCGAGGTAGGCACTACTACAGGGTAATACCATACAGCGGTTTTTCGCATTTTACACTAACAAAAAGTGACAAAGAAATTTCTTCATACTTTTTGAAGTGAAACTTCTTTACGCACGGTAGGGTAAGTTTCGTTTCATGCGAGTTTCTATGTAACGAAATCATGCAACGGATGTTCCCCTCTACTCGGCCACATAGTCGAGTTCGTAGTGGGGATCGCTTGAGCCGTGAGCAAGCTTTAATACAACGTTCGTTACCGCCCTAACAAAATGTATGAATGTATTTGTATGTGTTTGTGTATGTGTGCCTACACCAGTGGTTCCTAACCTTTTTAATATTTTTACCCCTGTGACCTATTAGGAAAACTGATTTTACCCCGATATTAAAATGTTATCAACACAAGCAAATACAAATATCTTCAATAATCAGAAATTGCATATCAGTCTTAATTACAATTTTATATATCTAAACAATAAATTAGGTAAAGATAGTTGATGTGATGCTTGGTATTATTTTTTCGAGTTTTTTTGACGTGACAACGTCTTATAATTCGATGGAGCCGGCTGCACACACGAAAAAACATGACTCATGCGGCGTTACCTCGCTCTGAGGCGTTCCATTTAAGGCTTGANTTTTCGTCGATAATAATTAAAAGAGAGTCCCCATATAAGCGGGAGAGTTACATTGAATATACTGCACCCATACAAGATTAATAAAATGTCAACACCGTGTTTGCTTTTTACGTTCAGCCAGTTTAATTTTCATATTAATACGAAATGTTAGAACTTCATCATATTATACTGTACAGGATATGACAGGCAATTTAACGCTAAAACCTTTTCGAAAATTCACTTCGCTTTCATGTTCTCTTTTTACTTGCCTCGCTTAATAAATGCATGTAAGTCCAAGCACTTCAGTACTGCACGACATTTTAACGTCATACGTATAATGAAAAATGAATCTATTCCTATTTTACTTTACAAACTTAGAATGATTATTAAAATAATAGAGGTAGCAATTTAGGTAAAACAAATTTAGAGGAAGTTAAGAAATGGGAAAGGGTCATTATTCGTCTGAAGCAGTGGTTCCTAACCTTTTTAATATTGTTACCCCTGTGACCTGAAACTGATTTTACCCTGACCTTAAAATGCAATACAAACAACACAAGCAAATACAAATATTTTTAATAATCACAAATTGCACATCAGTCTTACAATTTGATATACCTAAACAATAAATTAAGTAAACATAGTTAGTGTAATGGTTGGTATTATTTTGCATTTAATTTTTTTTATGTTAGCTTTAATTTCGCTTGAAGCGTATATCCTAAGTCATGTTCCACATTTAGAAGGATTTTGGTCTTTGTTTTCAGTGTATGAAAAACCACTCTCACATTTATAGGTGGTGGCAAAGGGTATTCACATTTTTAAAGCTCTGTTAACTAGAGCAGGATATTCGGCACCAGCTTTTCGCCATAATCATGTTTGAAATTCTACTCTGCAAGTAGTATTCTGGCGTAGTCCAAGATATTCCACCTTGGCTGTTAGGTCTTCATCTTTAATAATGTTATCATCCGTAGTACATGGTCTTAATGTCAAAGAACTGGACTGACGATTATCCATATCCGGAAAATATTGATTCAGCGAGTTTATTGCTGCAGATAAATGCCGAATTACAGAATTTTCCAATGTGATCTTGCTTGGTTCAATATTTACCAATTNATGTCTGTTATATTTATAAATAACAAAATACGTATTCATTATTTCCCTGATCATTACTTACTATCAAATAATTTTGAGTTTTTTTATCGGGTCAATATCATTTTTGATCATAATACCCTAACGTTTCACTCACGATTGAAAACTACTTCATGGAATATTTTCCATTTATTCTCCTTAGTTTGGATAAAAATAAGCGAAAAATCTAGGCACTTAAAGGTTTAAAGGTCTATATTTGCGTGTAGTTGTGTAATGTTGGTTCTACATGCAAATATAAACCATTCAGCCCTTAAGTGTCTAGATTTTTTGCTTATTTGTATCCAAACTAAGAAGAAATAGAAAATATTCCTTGAAGAAGTTTTCAATCGTGTATGAAACGTTGGGGTATTATAATAAAAAATGATGTTGACCCGTTAAGAAATTCAGAATTATTTAATAGTAAATAATGTGGTTGTACGGGTGCGAAACATGGACGGTGGGAGCTGCGGAAAAGAAAAGGTTAAAACCGTTCGAAATGTGGTGGATATCGTGGATAGAGAAGATTAGAAATGAAGAGGTATTAGAAAGAATAGGAAAACAGAGGACTCTATGGAAGTCAATAAGAAATAGGAGAGATTAGTTGGTAGGCATGAAGGTCTAGTCAGAGACATATTAGAGGCAGAAATGGGAGTTAAGAGGGGTAGAGGTAGACCTAGATTTGATTATTGACTGTTCGCAAATAGTTAAGGATGTGGATTGTTCTAGTTTTAGGGAAATGCGAAGATTAGCTCAGGATAGGAAGGAGTGGAGATGCGTGTCTAACCAGTCTTAGGACTAATAACCTTATGATGATGATGAAGTAGTGGTCAGGGAAATAATGAATACGTATAATGATAAGTAGAAATCTAAATTATTATCATAACTATACCACACGATGAAAGATGTGTTGCATTATTCCTATTACTGTTATAGCGAAATTATTTATTAATAATATTTAAAAATGAGGNCTATTAGATTTTCCCGTTTATTCATTAATAATTATTTATTTATTAAAATGTAGATAATTCAGAAGTTGCAACTAATGAAGCAATTAATTAATCTAATTATGATGACATATAGTAGTAAGAAAATCACAAACAAAGGAAATATTCTACAATATTCTTCATCATGTTTCAAATATTTTACGTATGAAGTAGTAGAGCAAAAAAATGAATTTTTACAATATTTCGATGTACAGTTCCACCGATAGCCAATTGGAGTGATAAAACTTGAGCAATAATCGATAACTGTAGCTTTGCATCGTTACTATCTATTACAAACAATGATAATAACCAGTGAGAGAGTGCAGCCCTCGTTAGGTCTTTAGCAATAAATCACAGCAGACATTCAACTTCGAGATCTAACTTAATTCACAGGAGACGCAACAGGTTCGCTAACAGACTAAACACCAAAGGACCAAAATGCATATTGTACTGTCTACTTACTTAAATCCAAAATTTGCTAATATTTTGCAACTTTCCCATCATGAGAAACTGAACCGAACTGTTTGTCTACTACATTGTATGGTAACAAAGAAACAACTTTCTCACAACTTTTCCCCACAAACTGAAAAACTTATGCTACACAAATTAGAGTAACGGGAAAACCGTATGAAATACATCTGGTAAGACGTATAACGAATAAATTCATAGTCGCATAAACCACCGAGATTCGTGCAATCGCGATTACAAGCCGACGTAAAATATGTACCGTTCACGCGTTCGGAAGTCGCGTCGCGACGCTTATCTGCTGGGCTTTCGCGGACCAACAAGTGAGGCTGTTGAAAGCACACCCGGGAGATGATGCTCGAGGGAAGAGAGCGCATGATCTCGCAACGGGAGTACCTACAAGAACCCATACTTCCTCGGATGACCCCCTGTGGTTGTTCGTTTTTTTACAATTGCATCCTATATGCTACACCAGTACATACGTTTCTAAAAGCAACTCATAAATTTAAATTTCAATTGCATTAAATTCCTTGAAGTTTATTAATGTATCTGTCACGTCCTGGAGTATAGTGATACGTCAAAGAGGTATTTTTCAGTTCATATCCTACCCTCTTTATTTTTATGTTAGATATACTTTTATTAAATTAGTAAATGCAACAATATTATTTTAGAATAGTAGTAGATATACGTATCCAAATATCAACAATAAATACTTGTTGCTAATTGCAGTATTTCATAGTGTTCGATAAAGTAGACTATCGTATAAGTTACTTCTAATGATCCTCTATTGTTCAAACCAAGTTCAGAAGGTAACATTTAAAAAAATCTCGTTATATTAATAAGAAACAAGTATACTCGAGGATGCAAAACAGTTCCGTGACTGACAGGTAATGTACAGCTTAAAATAAGTCACCTTCCTAAACCACTACACTAGGGGTAGTCAACTTGCGGCCCGCTTGCCTTAAACATTTTTCCGGCCCGCGGGATTCTTCAACCTAAATAATATTATAAATGCGAATCTGAGTTTGTTTGTTTGCTACCATTTCATCCCTTAACTATTCGCCGAAATAACATGAAGTTTTGTACATACATTATCAAGGGTACAGAAAATGATGTAAGGTATCTTTCACACGGAAAAAAATACTGAAACGTAGACGGTGAGCGCGGCGGAAAAACTAAAGTTAGAAGCGTTTGAAATGTGGTGTTACAGACAAATGACAAGGACACCGTGGATAGAGAAGGTTAGAAATGAAGAGGTATTAGAACGAATAGAAGAACAGAGGACTCTACGGAAGTCAATAAGAAATAGGCGAGATAGGTTGGTAGGGTACCTTCTCAGACATGCAGAGCTAGTTAGAGACATATTAGAAGCAGAAACGGGAGTTAAGAGGAGTAGATACAGGCTTAGATTACTATTCACAAATAGTTGAAGATGTCGGATGTTCTAGTTTCTACGGAAATTAGAAGATTAGCTCAGGATAGGACAAAGTGAAAATGCGTGTCCAACCAGTCTTAGGACTGACGACTCTATTATGATGATAATAATGGTTATAGTAGTGAAATCCAATATATTAAAAAAAAAGTACATTATTTGTGCAATCATATATTCAAAAATTAACTGTTCAAACTATGCTTATATTATGATAATATCATGTGTTTTATTAATAAATTTACAGTTTTATGAGTTTTAAAAAATGTCTATAGTGAGTATAAATATAAAATGGAGGTATATGTATAATTTAACATGCGGCTCTTGGAATTATGATTTATGTCCAAAGTGACCCGCAAGATCATTTGGGTTAGCCACCCCTGCACTAGACCATAAAATATATTCCGTGATTTTCCTCACCCACCCAATCCCACGGTTCCTACAAGGAAGTTAGATTGGGTTTTCCGCCCTAAATTCCGACACAATCCGGAGGAACTGCCCGCCCACCTGGATTGATTAACTAGTGAGAATAAAACTTTTAAAAGTTTAAAACTAGAGATTTAAACCATAGCTTAAACATTAACCTAGGACATCGCACTGGTTTCAATTCCGGGCGACCTAGCGTGGTCCAAGTGTTTTTGTAATTTCCTTGTATCACTTTCGAAAATGCTGGGCTGCTGCACACTAATGTTCTGCAGATCTTGTTTTACTTCTCTTTCATCCACAATTCCTAAAAGTGGACTGAGAAGGACCTTCTACAAAACGCTCCAGCGTAGTCCGGAGGGATTGCCCGCCCATTTGTAACTGGTGAAAACTTTTTTTAATTTTTTTAAAGATAGAAATATAAAATTTGGAGAATATGCTATTCCCTAGAGACTGCAGAGGTACATTAAGAAACATTTCAGAAATCTACCCCTGAGGATGTGCAATAGGCAGTAAACATTTGTATGGGAAATCGCTATAATAAAATAAGTGCTTTCGGATTTTTAAATTCTGTAAAAATAAATCAGTTCATTTCCACTCATGTTCAGTGAATAATTACTAATCTTCGCAGTTATGATAGCAGCACTCCTAATTAGTGAATATTAGATGAACTAATTGGTGAATAGAAAATACTAATTACTTTGTGTTAAATAAATGTACCTAATAATTAATAATGCTCAATTTTTCATTGAATAGAAAAACCTTGCTTTTACTACATGTTTACATTCTCAATTATTTCTTTAACACAGATATTGATCGGAGCGTCACGCTCTCGATCGCTAACACTAACTAAGCCAGTAAAATTAGTAAAATATAAATAGACATAAATTCAGAGGAAAAATAGCGTTAAATCAGTCCGTAAAAGAACCCAGGTACGACCATGTGACGGGCAAGAATTACAGCAATGTGCTATCAAAACTTCGATGACAAAAAATTTGTTAAATTGTAATAATGCTAATCACAAAGAGTAGTCAAACAGTTTAAACAAGTTTTATTTATAATATAAAACAGTAAATTATTTCAGTAACTTATCACATTAAAAGAATATAACTGACACATCAGTTAAAAATGCTAGTTTTATAGTCAAATTTATTGTAGATCATATTACTTCTCTGAAATGTGTTCATTTTGCCGACGTTAACAAAATAATTGAAATGTGCTAATTACATTAACACAATCGAAAATTTTCACACTTTCATAACTTGTATCATTTCAGTGATTAAAGCAAACATATTCGGTCGTTTTAATTTATTTATCTAAGTACCTATTTATATATGCAAAAATTTTATGTATTACGTAAATGTTGGAGTTTATTTTCGATTTATTTATTGTAATAAAGCATGAACTGGCTTAATTAAAACGTACAAATATTTTTAATTAGTTGGCTATGTAGGATATATGCAATTATTAGTAATGTGTAACTTGTTTATTTGCTTAAACGGTACCTACATAATTTAATTGCTCGTAACTTTTGCGGAATTCCAACATTAGTGTGTCGTTACCAGGTGGAAATTAGAGATGCACCCGGATAGTTATTTTGCCGGGTACTAGATAACCGGGTACCACGGCAAAACCACTACGTTTAATGGTTCACAACTTCGTTCTAGCAAACTTTCTATTAAATACAAGCCTGACGCTGGAAGCTGGCGGAAATTTTAAAATGGCGTGGATGCGCGGTGGCAAAAGTAGGCAGTTATAGGTATAAAAATTGCAGCCCTCATTCTTCAGTATTCCTATCAGGGGCGTAGATTAAATAGTTAAAAATAGGGATCAGTGAGCAAGTAATAGACATATCTCGCCTATTTCTTATTGAGTTCCGTAGCGTCCTCTGTTCTCCTATTTTTTCTAATACCTCTTCATTTCTAACCTTCTCTACTACGGTATGCTCATCATTCACCCGTAACACCACATTTCTAACGCTTCTAACCTTTTTTTCCGCCCCGCCCACCGTCCATATTTCGCACCCGTACAGTGCCGCGCTCGAAACATACCAAACAGTACCTAAAACATAAAAGCTACAAACCTGCAGTTGCATTTCCTTTATTCAATATATAATAACAAAGTTATAAACTTTTTTAACATATTTAAAATAAAATAAAAACCAACGTAAGCGCATTTATAAGATTCACAATTTGCAAGCAATAGTACGCATTGGATGGCTGATGCACAATATGCCGATGACGTAAAAAAATGTTCCAATAATTTTGTATTACCTACCTATATGTACTATATATAAAATGCGTAAGTGTAAGTCGTTGTGAATGTATTGGATGATGTGTAAAACATTGTGGTAAAATATTACTCTTCAGTCCAAATATATCTGTAATCTGTAATTCATTACAGACTTCATCTTCCTAAATTAGCTCAAGTGCAAAAAGTTGGGATGAAGGACTTGATCACATACTTAATATATCAACTACCGATATTCAAAAAGCCATGAACCATACTATGAATAGTGGTGCATTCTACCCTTTTGTTATTAACCAATGTTAGTTCGAGAGCTCAAAGATATGAATCTGTTCTATATTTAATTTAAAGCGATAACTATTTTTATGCACATCAAAGATACAAAAAGCATTGGCTTAATAATTAAAAATTCACTAGTGATTTGTAAATACAGTAAGGGTAATTTAATACATTTTCACCAACCCCCGTAAGAGGATGACAAAGGACTGTTACTAGAACACATCCGCATTGGAATTAGTTAGCGATGTGATGTGATGGCAAAGGGAGTAGAGGTGAAATTCCTCGATTTTTCCGGAGAGGACAGGAGTTGCGGGAGATGACAAAGGAAAGAACATTCCCCTAAGAGTTAACAGACGTACATAGGAGGCGATGGAGGTGGATGTGAAAAATCGAAATAGTAATTGTGTGTATGAACTGACCGTTGGTCGATCGGGGATAGAAGAACAGAGTCAAGGAGATCATCGAAATAAGATAACCTGGAATAACCATATTCTGATGTAAGCTAATTTAAACAGATACGGTTAAGTTAGGGTTGGGTTAGGTTTCCTTAGTTTATGTCCATATTTTTACCTCCGTCTCTCCGTTCCCACCTCTAAGCAATTTTTCTACCGACGGTAATCTCATACACACAATTACCATTTCTTACCATCTAAATTTTTCACTTTCACCGTCAACTAATCCAATGGGAATGCAGTCGATATTAACTGTTCTTCATTATATCTATTAGTAAGGTGACCAACTATACTCATTTACTGAGTTTTGTACTCTTTTTTCGCAAACCATACTCTTTTCAAATCCTGTACCTACTCTGAAAGTACTCATTTGTATAATTTTANTGAGGTTAGCTACGCCGGGATTCGTTTCAGCAAGTAGATATCCACACAAGTGGACCTTGTTGGAGCATACGTAATCCTAAAAA